GGCTGCTCCACTCGAGGAGATGCCTTGGAACACCGGTTCTCCAGAGGCTTGCTCGCGGTCTAGTGGTGCGGCATGGGTTATCCGAACTTAGGCAGCCTTATTCAAACTCGCTGAAAGATTGAAGAATATGTTCGAAAAAATTGAAAATGAATATTTTTTTATTATAGTTTTAATTTTATCAATTTTAATTATAAGTTTGGGTAAGCTAAATTTCGCTAAACATTATTCACGAATAAATTAATAAGTTAGATGAAGTTTACCTAATAAAATACTCTAAATCAAGATATAGAAATTTGAAACTGTCTAAATTCGGTTTTGAAAATATTTTAATGAAGTCATGTGGGTTAAAACTTAAGAAGAGTAGATTGACAATAAAATGTTAAAACACCCAGATTAAACAATATAATATTTATTTACAACTTATTGATATTGTTAAAACACCAAGATTCAACAATAAAATATTTATGTACCATTTAAAAATACTTGATACAACCAAAATTTATGTACAACTTAAGAATATTGACCAAGAAGAATTATATATATATATATATAATCATTTAATGTTAAATGTGAGGTGATGGGTTTTTTTTCCAGGAAGTAGAGATGTCATAACAATTGTGATTTTGTTTAAATCCAAAGTTGTGATTTAAAAAAAATACATATTAAATTATGTGTAGTGTAATATCTCTGAAAAAGGACATTATAATATTATTAATTGGAATTAGTAGAGATATTTATTTAATGTTAAATAACAAGTGAGGTTTATTTATTTTTTTTATATAGAGATCATAACTATTGGTCTGTGCTAATGTCAATATTGCGTGAAATAATTGTTTTTTTTTAAATCGAAAGTTGTGATGTTTTTAAAAATACATATTAAATTTATGTGTCGTGTAATATAGTATGATATTATTAATTGGAATGAGTTAACTAACTAGTATTCTGATATTATAATTAAATAGTCGGTTTACATTTTATCAACTAAAGTTAATTCGATAAATATTCGATTTTTATCTTTATTATATTTAATTTCACAATTTATTAATTTAACTTTAATATAATTTCATTTATTCAGAATTATGCATTAAATTTGACAATGACATTATTTTATTTCAAAACAAATACTACACTCAATAAATTATTTGGGATCGTAACTTTTTTAAAAGGATTTTTATGTGTATAGAATTTTGCAAAAATGGAACAAAATAGACGTTTTGAAAGTAGTTTTTTAAAAATACCTAAACTAAAATTGAAATGAACTAAAAATAAAATTTAAAAACCAAAAATTTGTTTCCATCTCTCCCTATGTGCTAATACTCTTTTCCAAATGGTAATTATGTGAATGGAAAAATATATAATTTTATCAATTGAAATCAACTAACTTTTTAATTTTTTGCCATAGGTTTGTCACAAATTAAATGGATCATCTGTCCAATAAATATGGCATATAATCATTTAATTAGTGATGTTAAGTAGAAATATGACTATTAGTTAACGATGTTGAACAAGTAAAAAATAAAAATTTTAAACGAACAAATACACATCATAAGTATAATATAACCTTTTTAAGTACTAACAAAAGAAAGAAAAAACTATTGTTTGGGAAAAATCCTGGCTTATCCATTCTCTTAAATGAGTGACTTGTAAAACAAGTTGAACACTCCGACGCTAAAGTTAATCGTAGTCGGAGACGGTAAATAATGTATTTTAGAAATAATTTGAATATATCTGGGTAACGGATTACGAACTCTTTTATCATCAATTAACATTGAATCGGTAGGCAAGGAAGATTGGATTCTTTTACTCAATTACAGATTTAGCCAGACAAGTCATGATTGCTGACTAGACTCAGTCAAAACTATCTCCTACGCTCATTGATGGCGGTAACGATAAGACACATCTGGGTCAGTTTCTAGCAGTCGATCTAACGTCACCACGTCGACATATCTCTTGGCTATCTGACATGTGTTCGCCCGGTCTCCCCCATAACAACTATAACCTTTTAAAATAGAAGAAAAATAACTAAAAAAAAATTAGGCTAAATTTGTAACATATTTTAATATCGCTTCGTTACTTCTACATGATTTTATTCAACGTGAATAAAAGAAAAATTAAAAAAGAATCTCAAAGGATTACAGATATAATAAAAAAAAGGAGCATAAATATTAAAGATAGTATCACATATTTACCCTTTTGGCCATACATTAAATTTGTCATAATATTAATAATAATAACATTACTTGTATTTATTTGTCCCGTTAATTAAGTTTAAAAAATTCGAACGTTTCCCGCGCATAAAAATAGCCAAGTTTGAGAGCGAGAGGAGCAGAGCAGCAAAGTGAGGGCGTCCATGGGGAAAAAACTGAGCATTTCCTCAGCGCGCGATCGAGTGGTTACGAGATCTCAATCCAGTGCCATGGAGCGGGAGAGATTGTCTAAGCGATCGCCGATTGCTGCTGCGGAGCCGGAGGGAGTAATGGCSAAGCGAATCCGAAGAGATGTTAAGCATCCGATCATTCATCCTTGCAGCTCTCCTCGTTCCGCCTTTCTCACTGCATCTTCCTCTTCCTGCTGGTTCTTCCTCTCTCTCTGTTGCTCTCCATTTTCATCATCGTTGTTAGTAGGTAATCTTAATTTCAGTTTCGCGCCTAAAAACATGCTTACCTGTACTGTAGACCTGAATGCGTTTGTGTTTTCTACCGTTTTGCGACGGTGAGGAAATTCGAATGTGATTTGCTTTGAAGTGATTATAATTACGCAKAGTTCGAAAATTGAGATATGAAGTTATTTCCTCGACTTTGAGGCTCTCTGAGCTTGATTGTATGTTCGAATTTGTATAGTACTGCAAAGGATTTTGAAGTAGAAGGAAATGAATAATTCGTGTTGTGTCTGTGAGATTAGCTCAAAGTGAATGTTTGAAGAATCTATCGCAGCTAAAACTTGTTCGTTCTGATAACATTTCCTGAATCTCTTAGAATTTGATCATAAGTCCTAACAGTTCGTAATGTAAATAGTACTGCCAATTCTTCAGTATAGTTTCCAAGTGTTTATTGGACATGTAAAAGGAGCGAAACTAGTTCAGTGTTTAAATTTAAATTTCTTATTTATCACATTCAGTATTCCGAGTCTTCTCTATATGTATCAGTCCTACTTCTAAGATTTCGATAATGTGATTGTTCATATTTTACAGTTTAAAGCTACTTGCTACAGTTTAAACCTTCAATTTTGACTCATTTCTTATGTTGGGAATCGAAAGCTACTTTGTTTATTAAGCCATTAGTCTTAAATTTGGTTGATCGGGATTGAGATTGATGGATCATAGAATAGAAATAATACTTTGTTTCAAAGCTGAGAATATGTAATTTAACCTTATTTTCGTGACGAATGAACATGGAAGGTATGACGCGGACGTGTGGACAGAGGTGGCGAAGTTTCTTGACGGAAGATCTCTGATGATGCTTGCGGCGACTAGTCGGTGGTTTTACCGTTTAGTTATGGAAGACAGCATATGGAAGTATGTCTGCCTGCGTGATCTTCAGGTCTCTGCTCCTCAAATCACGGCCTTCAAATGGATTAAACTCTATGTTTCCGCCTTCGGTAAGGATCGGGTTCCGAGTCCTCCGAGTTGTGTTCTGYCTCTTTTGAATAAGTTATGCGTTTGCCTAACCATTCAATCAACCATGTTCCAGACGGAAGCCACTCTTACATTTTCCGGCAGCAGGAGAAGCATCTTGGTGAGTGATTGGGATGCAAAAACTTATTATCAGAWGAGATTGTTGTTCTGACTAAGTATTTAACTGTGTGTCTAATCTTATTATCACATCTTACCAAATAACTTGATATTCAAAGTTCATTGAATCTTAAGTTATTTTAGAGGGTGTAGGCATTATGAGATCCATCATTTTGAGGTTAAAGCTTTCATACTGCTCCTTTGGAATCCTCCTATAAAGTAGATATTTCATAATCCCAATATATTAAATGCACTGTAGTCTGATTCTTTACCATATTGTTATATTTTTTGAGGAAACCAGATTGGATGCGAATTGGGGCATTTTCCATGGATTCTTCAGTAGCACTCCTGTCAGAAAGGCTAGGCTCCCAAGTGAAAATCCCAAAACAGGATTCAAAGGATAACATGTTGGAGTCCGGTTGTTGTGTCTTGCACAATGTTAAAACTGGGATCTGGATAGCTGGTAGTTTTAAGCTTCCTAGAAGTTTGTCATTTTCTTTCATTGTTCTCGTAATTTGGCAATCTTATAATCCTATGTCTATAAGTAAACTTACATTATCTTTGGACTAATGTGGCAGATCTACAACTTGTTCGTTGTCCCGTCTGCGACCTGAATACATGTGATGGTAAGCCCCTCGAGCAAACATTTTGGATGCCACTAAAATGTAGAATTTCACTTGTTGCAAGAGTTTAGTACTTTCGGAGTAAATTGATATACCATACTATGTATAAAAGAACTTCACAGCTAGGCTTATTCACTTCCAAATTTTACTGAAAATTAAACCCAATACTATTTTGAAATACGGATGGTAATGATCACATACCCCAATCATCCGTTAATCAGCACTAGTTCATAGTCAACCACCCAAACATGAATTAGACCAAACAATTTACTTGAATAATCACTGCAGGAAGAATATTTGATGTACAACTTGTTGGCTCTTGCTGATACTGCTAATATTATTATTATGTAGGAACAATGCAGACGTTGGATGCGAGGCACATAGAGTTGTTCCTAAATGAAGGTTACCAAGATGGGAGTTGGGATTATCAGATTGTAGGTTCCCATGATATCAGGAAGCCTACAGAAGCAGCTTCAGGGGCCATTTTTGATGTCAAGCACCTGGAAGACTCTTCAACCTCTGGTATAGCAACTGTCCAGGAAAAGTATTTTTAATACACTAACAATGAAGTTCTTGATCTTGAGCTTTTGAGTTACATATTATTAAATCCGTGCAAACTCAGTTATGTTTTTAGATCTTGAAGGTTGTTGTAACTCACAAAATTAAACCATATGCGACCAAAAAATATCGAGTTGTGGAGATTGAATTATGAACTTATAAATGCATGAATTGGCAGGAATACTGGATATGCAAACATGGAGTGGAAAGCGTACAGATTGGCAACCAAAGGCTATGATCACTCTCCATGCCGTTGCTGTAAACACCTATTTACAAGACAATGAAGGTAAATGGCCTTCCACTCTTAATATGATATTCGAAAGGGTGAAAAGTGGTGTTTATGAATGTAGTGAAGTTGGGTGGGAAGTAGTTTTGTCAGAAGTGCTTTTACCTGTAAAAACAATTGTAAAGATATGTTAATCTTGTTTGAGGGATGCAGGAGTTCATGTGAAATACCAGGCCATGAGAGGAGGAGCAAATGGAGAAGTGGTTTCTATCAGAATCTCTCAGCAGCTTCTGTAATTCAATTCATATTCTTCAAAATGCCTTTTTCTTCTTATTATATTTTTCATTCTTTGTATGAACTTACCCCTCAAACACTCACTATTCTTTCCCCCAAAAATTACCAGACCACACAAAAGCACCAACTTCTAAAAATCGTTTTACAGTGTAACTCTTCATTATTAACAAGTTATCTTTTAAAAACAATTTTATATTTTTTTTTYAAATAACCTTTTGATGTTGTTTTATTTTGTTTTTCAAAGTTTGAGTGGTTTCCACTTTCAGAATAGGATGGAACAAAATAACATTTTAGTGTGTTCCCGCGGCAATAAGAGTTTGAATTAAGATGTGTTATATTTTTTATTTTTTTATTGCAATTATATGTTTAAACTAATTAAGTAGAGAAATAAAAATAAAAAATAAGAGTTTTTTTTTTTAATTTTTTTTACTGTTTACGAAAGGAAACTGGTCTAAAGTTTAAATCATTTTATGCCTAACTGATTATAGTATATATCTTCGAATTTCCACTCTCTTTTAAATTTTTAAATTTTAAAGTATAATTTGATTAAGATGTGTTATATTTTTTTTTAGGGGAGGGTAACAAACAATTGTTTTTAAAGTATAATTTGATTAAGATGTTTAAAAAAAAATTGATTAATATGTGTGATATTTTCAATCTTTTATGGCAATTATATTATTAAATTAATAGATAAGAGAAATAAAAATACAAAAATAAGAGATATTTTGAATCGTTTATCATAGAAAAGTCAACTTGAGTATAACACAACTAGTTTAGATATTTATTTCTAATCGAGAAATTGTGTAAAACTAGTTTAATTTAAATCTAAAATATAGTTTAGAAAAAAAAACAATTTTTTAACATATAAATTTTATTTAACAAGATCATTTTAAAAAAAAAACGAAATAGGAATAATATAACGTTCATGTGTTCTTTTAAAGTTTTTTTACCTCTCAACATGACTGTTGATGTCGATTGAGAAGCACCACGTAGGTGTCACGAAAGTGCTATGTACGTCTTTGTTTCTAAGTTCTGAGTTATTTGCACATAGAAATCTAGCGCCAGTGTGGTGTTCTGCATTCTAAGTAAGAACTCAAGTTGGAAGAACACAGGTACAAGCAAATCGGGTAGAAGAGCAGTAATCTCGAGGTTGAGAGTTGACTTGAGAGTGTGTGCCGAATTCTTACAAGGAGTAGCTTACATTTAATTAGAGTTTTCCTTTTCTTTATACATGGAGGGAGAGAGAGAAGGAGGAAAGGTAGCCAATTGGGGACATGAGGACCCTCTCTGACATTTCATGTCCTTTTCTTGCCATCACATAGTGGTGCAACAACACGTGAGGTATGCTCTTGACACCGTGCCAAACACTCGTTAGGTAAGTTTGTCGACACCTCTAACCGTATTGGAGCGTTAGTATGGTGCACGAAGCCTTCCCCTAGTATGTGCTCGACGTTGATCGGGTGCACTCTGCCCACCTGATTCRTGGGTAGATGAAGATTGTTGTTTCCACAAGGTGGTTCCACGTGAAACTTCGAGGCTTTCCCTCAATAGTAACTATTCATATTATTAAATTTTAACATGTTATATTTATAAATTAATAGGTTAGTAAGTGAAAAAATAAAAAATACAAGAATAAAGAATAAAGAATACTTTTACAAACCGTTTTTCATCTTAAACTGAAAATTGTTTCAAAAGATGCACTTTACCTCTAAACTTGGGAGGTGATCAAGTTTCATGTTAAACTTTCATTCTCATAAAATTTAACTTTATACTTAAACAAGTGTAATTTCTATTTTCACTAAATTCAATGACTAATTTAACAAAAAAAGAAGAAAAAAAACCTAAGGAATAAAAGATAGATACTGTATAATTCTATAATATTTTCACACATATGAATTTAACGTATTACAAGACTTATATATAAGAAGTAGTAACCATCTGCTCCGTAACAAACTCAACTACTGCTTAACATATCCTCTATTTTAAGTAAATTACACTAACCGATATAACAATAATAATATAGCAGTTAATAAGGAACAATCTCTTAAAACTTACTAATTTTAAAAAAATCAAGTTTCACACAAAATTAAATTTGATTAATTAAGACAAGATCCATAATTAAATAAATGTCTCAAAGCTCACAAATTTCGATAATAATCCAGCTATAGGATCATTTTTCTCTAAAAGTCCAATTATTTTCCAATTCATTAAATGCACATGAGAAGTACACTCTCATTTTATTTGTTTTTCAAACGAAAGTTTATCAAAAGGTGAAAGGTGCTACACTCTCACGAAAATAAGAAACTCAAATATTCAGGAGAAATTGATAACCTTTCATTAACTTTTTGATGATTTGCAATCCAGGTGAGTTCCATATACATGTATAGGCTTAGGGATGGGAACTCTTGAACTAATTTGAACTAATAATATATATTTAGAGCTCGTTTGGTAACATTCTCGTTTCCAATTTTTTTTAGAAATCTAAATATTTTTTAACTAACTTTGTTTCTTGTTTCTCCTTTTTGGAACATTTTCAAAATTGTATAGAAATTTTGGAAACAACCCAAACTAACAACGAAATCTCATATAAAAGAATCTAAACTACTCAACTAATTACAAACTAATATATTCTATAACTAAAAATAGCAAAAAGATCTAATTGATTATAGTAGTAGAAATCACAATTAGTGTGCTGGCTTAACACCCCACAAGCCAATGGCAGAAGCATCTCGGACATTGAGCTTGAAACGAAGAGTAGTAAAGCTTGTAGCAGACAACGACTTAGTAAGAATATCCGCAATCTGAGCAGTGGCTAGAAGATGATAAATCAACAATTTCTTATTTTGAACCAAATCACGCACAAAGTAAATATCCAACTCAACATGTTTAGTTTTAGAATGAAGTATCGGATTAGTACTTAAATGGACAACACTAAGATTATCACACCAAATGATAGGCAATCGCGGCAACGTAACGAATTCAGATGCAGCAGTAGTAAGACAACGATACTCAGCTTTTGTGCTAGAATGAAAAATAATGGACTGTTTCTTAGAGCCCCACGTGATTAGGTTATCACCAAAGAAAACACAGAAACCCGAAGTAGACTTATGATCATCTGGATGAGATGCCCAATCAGCATCAACAAATCCATGCAGAGATAAATCAGGAGGACGAGTAAAAAATAGAACATGATTAATAGTCCCCTTAAGATATCGCAAAATGCGTTTGACAAATTCCTAATGAATGACAGTTGGGGAGAGCATAAACTGACATGCTTTATTGACACTGTAAGAAATCTCCGACCGAGTGAGAGTGACATATTCCAAGACGCCAACAACACTTTTGTATAAGTGCACATCATGAAAATACTGACCATGTCTAGCAGAAAGTAAAAGACCACTCATCATGGGAGTGGAAATAGGCTTTGCCTCAGCCATTTTTGTTCGATGCAAAAGGTTCGAAATATATTTGGATTGAGTGAGCAGCATACCTCTAGTAGATGGACAGGACACCTTTATTTCCATAAAGTAATTCAACGTCCTGAAGTCTTCAAGAGCAAACTTAGCATTCAAGCTTGAAATAAGCTTTGTAATCTCAACTGAAGAACTGCCCGTAATTATAATATCGTCAACATAAACAAGTATGTAGCAACAATGAGTGGAAGAGCAATGTACCAGTAAGAAAGGATTAGCTCGAGAATTAACAAATCCTAGAGAATTAAAAAATTAACTCAGTCGTTCGAACCACGCAGGATGGGCTTGCTTAAGGCCATAAAGAGCCTTGCGATGTCAACAAACAAGAGGAGATGATCCAGATATCTGGAAACCTTCTGGTTAATCCATAAAAACAGAATCAGTAAGTATACCATGGAGAAAGCATTATTTATGTCAATTTAACGAATACTCCACCCATGAGCAAGAGCCAACGTGAGAAGAACACAGATGGTGATAGGCTTCACAACAAGACTAAATGTCTCAGTGTAGTCAATACTCGGAGATTGATGAAATCCCTTGGCAACAAGGTGAGCTTTGTACCGGGCAATCAAACCATTCAAATTCTGTTTTATTTTGAAGACCCATTTGCAGCCCAAAACCTTCTTATCATAAGGTTTAGCAATAATGTCCCATGTACCATTCCGAATTAAGGCATCATATTCTTCTTGCATAGCACATCTCCAATGCTCACATCTTAAAGCTTCTTTGACAGAGGGAGGTTACGTTTAACATAATTCATTGAAATGACATTGGGTCAAAAAATTCTATTCTTACTTCGAGTAATCATCGAATGCAAATTAGAAGAAGCCGATCGCAATAATAGAAGGTATAGTCTCAATAGAGGAATCATCAACTACACAACCAGTAGATACAGAGGTGGGAGGTTCAGGCAAAGGAGTAGGGGAAGTAGGTATTGGAAGTAAAGTAGCTGGTATTGGAGGGGCAGAAACATAGGGCCAAAATCAGAGTTTGTGGAGGAAGGGATATCTGTATTTAGAGGAGAGTGGATAGTAGAAGGTGAAATAGGAGATGGAGAACTACTAAGAGAAGAGGTAGATAATAAAGGAACATTAGGCATAGTTTGAGAAATATTGGAAGGGGGAATAGAGGCTATAGAAGATTTGGCAAAAGGGGAGGAAGATTCATCAAACAATACATGTCTTAAAATGAATAAACGACCATCAAGAGGCACTTATAACCTTTGTGCATATTACTATAGCAAAGAAAAATGCACGGACAAGAACGAAAGTCAAGCTTATGGGAATTATAAGGACGTAAACAGGGATAACACTTACATCCAAAAGTCTTCAAGGAAGAACAGTTGGGCGATTGGCCAAAGAGGTTCTCCAAGGGACTCATATCATGAAGAGCAGTTGGTAACCTGTTGATGAGATAAACAACAATAGAAAAGGCATCATCCCAAAATTCAAGTTGTTGTGTTTGGTGCCCTTAGCTCGTGTATTTGTAATTAATGAACAAATTATTTTTTATTCAATAAAGAGTTATCT